TGATGTACCCATAGTACAACAATCGCCCAAATCGACAAACGAGTTCTTTAATGCACCAGGTCTACAACTAAGTAATTAACATAGAACATAATATCAAGCCATGCTTTTTGTTCAATACCTTCTCTTTTTGATTTTCATTTCTTGGACGATTCTTGCAAATTAGACATTAATCTAAAGATTTTCCTATTTTCAATGGGCTGTTTTCGATGGTTTGCTCGTTAAGAAGTTACTGACCGTTTTTAAATTAGCATCGAAGCAAATATCTTAAAATAGTAGTATTTGTAAACTAAGCATGCGCCGGTTTCATGCATTATTTTTTGCCACTGTTTCGTCATCACCGTCGAACTTCTATGGTTTCCACGCGGAGAACTGCGACAAATGATCTTTATGCTCCTTTTTTGGAACCAACTTAGCGAAGTTCGAAACGAGTCGATAGTGTAAGATCCGGAATGTATACAAATATCCCATTTAAGTTCGCTAAAAGTTTGCTAAATTGCAAAAGATGCATATGAGTCGGCTGTGTCATGGTAGGAGACAACGCTTTCTCTGTTCGCTTGGCCTGCGAACTTTTTTTTTTAGCCTGTTGTAATCTTGTTAGTTATGGACGGTGGGGGGTCCGAGTCAATCGTTTTTCCAGGCGGTAGCAGCTTTTTTTTTGCATGGTTTTCTAATTCCACCAAACATGAGGCGTAACCTTATTTGGGTCGTGTTTGGGCTGCCATAGATTGAGGGCACATTACTTCTTTTATTTGTACACCGTCGTCGTATGTGACCCACTCTTTGTCATCCCTGGTTAACCGTTTTATACGTAATATTTTACATTTCTGTAATATTTTACAGACGGAAGTACGACCAGCTAGATTCTTTTGCGTCAGTCCGGACACTACGTTTTTTTTAAGCCAATTTTCTTCTAGTTTTTTCGACGACATCACGGCTAGTCACATGTCAATCCTGCTCAACTTTCACAATCATTTTATTAGCTTTGATCATTATCTTTAACATTGAAGTTTCCAGAACGAAAGCGACAGGGCCATCTTTGCCAGGTTCGATGTACCAAATGATATCAACACCGAATTGGCATGTACTACCTGAGTTGCGTGCTTTTAAAGCATCCGGTTGGAAAAAACGCTCAACATCTTTTCCACAGACCAATCTATCATTTTACCGAAGTGGACGCCGGTGACAGATCTATGTAAGATAGACATCTTTCGACTAAGGTCATGGGGGCATTACGCCAAAAACAATTGAAAAACGTTTGTCACTTGGTACGCAATATCTGAACGTATGAACAGTCATAAAGATCGACATATATATTCATGAAGTTGCTTTATCCGATCATGCTACTTCCCAAAATTACGGGTTGATATTAATGCAGTGACGACTGCAGTACAGTGATAACATGAACGAGTAAAATAACAAAAATGTTTATTAGCTAGGGTATAGATCAGGTCATTTCGTCGCTTGCCTGCATATTGTATGCGGAATCATCGTTATCAACTGCATTTGTACTACGACGTGGGCAGGTCTCTGCCACCTTGGACGCGTACCTCAGCTTGTTATTGCAATTTTCTGCGTTTAAGGCTCTATCGTGGAGCCGGTGCCTTTTACTATGCTTCAGGTGCCTCCATCCGGCAATGTACCTTGACGGTGAGTTCCTTAGTATCGATGGATCCCCTAAGTCCGGAAATCACGGTAGCTTGCCAGATGATTGCGCTTGACTGACTGCATCCGGCTGGCTGCGCCAAGAACCGTACCTCTAATGGCTTCTTGCTCACGTCGTCACCAGCGAGATTTGTTCTTTGAATTAACTGAATACACAATGGTTAGACACTGGAAATATGTTATTATGAACAAATTAAAACGATCATGTTTATTTCAACATTTTTTTAGTATTCAATTAGGTTTATGGGACGATTCAGCTGTAGGAAACAAGAAATATAGTCTAAGTGGGGGTTCAAGATTGCACAGCCAAATAAGCTGGTAAACAGTTTGTGTATCCAATATTGTAGCTTTACGGTGAAGGTGGGATGACAGCATTAGCGATTGAGCGCCACAATAGGTCACTTTGAAAGCAAAATGTTTGTAACTATGAACGTTATCAGGAATTGAAAGGTGACAGCTCGAGAGATTACTAAGAAGCTATTGGGCGCGAAACGTTGATTGAAACGAGCTATGGGACTTATATCACATTTTAGGTTCCACAGGTTTCAGGGCTCTTATCCAGAATTATCTGACCGTATTCCAAAAATTTAAATATGATTTTCACCAACAATTTCGGGATCTAGCCATTTCTGGCTATTTATATTTATTCTAAAATCTAGATACATGTCAACCGGCCATGTTAGATTGTTGAACAAAACACGTATGTCATTGCGGAAGTGGACGTAGCGCCTGCTTTTCGATTGTTGAGAATTTCAGCAATATTAAATCTTCCGTCTGGTTCTGTCGAACCTCAAAGTAGCTTCTTTGTTCGTTGACTTGTCAAGGTTGTTGTAGTCTATTTGCATTGTTAAAATTATTTGTCCTACGTTTAAATTCATGAATCATCATTGTCCTGCAGCGGTAACATTACATTGCTAAAAACCTTCATTAGTTTTTTGGCTTTTTTCAGGCAATCTAGGCCGTGTACTCAGCGAAGAAGCGAAATCCACGATCGCCCAATATGACTATGTAATATATTTGCGTGTCTTCCATGATGAACGGGATTGTTGCGCGAAGATGCTTTTAACGCGCTTGAAAAGCATTATTTTGTCTTCTATTGTAAAAAAAAAAAGCATTTTTCGTGACTCATTTTTCACAGCACTGTGATTTGACATAAAACGCTTACGATCTGCCCAAATTCTGATGCCGTCCATATTCTTCATTCGAACAATCGTGTTGTTAACCAAATCGGGATTCGTAGTAAGCAGAGAAATAAAATTACTCGCTAATACAACTGGTGGCTCACGGTGGCAACAGTCGCGCGTTGGTCTCCGCCAATTTTGAAGCTTCCAGCGTTAATACGTAATATGCTACGACGTAAAGCGTGATCAGACTTTTGCCCCCTTTTTGTAAAAAAGTCCTTCTAATCGTCTTTTCGATGTAACACCAAGCGCTTAGCCACTTGCTAAGGGGTCTGATCGGGGCATCCTTAGTGGACTTACCAGAGGTTTTACTGAAAGAACTACAAAGCGGCATAGGAACCGTACAAGTAATTTCTTGTAGCTACTAGCTAAAGTGTTTCCCTTTGGAATCGATCTCCAGTATTCATGACCCTCTTTAGTAGTTAGTGGCTTGCAATTCGACACAAAAGCGAGCCTCATAGTTTTTACAGGGAAGTCGTGTCGCCTGTAAAAGGTCTCTAAGGCTCTCGTCCAGAACCATGTACCGCAATATACTCGAGCGTGTTTTTACATGTGTTCCGGTAACTTTTTTACCGAGTTTTCCATATTTCCTCAAAATCCGATACACTTACGGTATCGATAATCGTGACTTGCTATCAGCACTGCTTGGAACATTTACCTATTGACTTCTGATAATTTCAGGACCGAAAGTTTTTGCCTACTTGAAACCTCCAATTTCTTCCCCACCGTTTTCCGTCTCCTACTTCCCTAAATGACTGATTACATAACCGAAAGCTCTTCGACGTACTACGATTTATCATAGTAATACACCTGCAATGTTTACTTTCCGAAATTTCCCTAAGTTTTTTTTGCTCCCTCCGTTGGAAGTTGAGCGGCGTTTTAGATCGAGCAGAAAAATGAGGTGTAAGCTCTATGCAGAATGATCACTAACTTTCGTTGTCAATCTCAAATAAGCATTGTACAGATTTTCTATACATATAGTGCGTTATTTTTTCCTAGTTAATGGATCTGTTTATAGTTTCTGCTCTACAACTAGGTAAATAATAATAGTTTATTTAAATGAACTATTTCGGAACCGTAATCCCCTCGCTATTAGACAACTGTAACAGAAGCATCAACTACGAAAAAGGAACTGGCCAGTTTGATTGAACTGTCTAAGATAAATCCACTTGGGAATTAGCATTGTGATAAGTTTCATTCGATTTTAACTTTTACTGCTGTGATAACACGTTACGAGGACAAGTTTCACTAGCACCGAACTCGACTAGAAGAAACGTGTGGGAACATAAACATTGAAACGTCGGTTGATTTAATTCGACGTCTTCGATGTCCGCTAATTAACACCAGGTAGTCAGTATATATTGACGATTCGATATAGAAATCATGAAGAAAAACATGGTGGCTGCGTTCCCCGCCATCATTTGAATTGTGCTGCTTACACGATAGCGGTTTCGTCGTAATCGACATTTCTTCGGCGAAGATATACGGTATAAGTTCGTCGCGTTATTTCCAATTCCAATCTCGCTGTATGATAGAAAAATTCTGGACAAAAATCAATGGCAATTCTAATGATGATTTTTGTATGAGTTATGGCCAGTCGCTTCACGAAGTGCGGTAACAGTCACATAGCAACATTTCTATCTGGATCGCTATTAGAAACGATACATAGTAACCTAGGCTTAAATCGGCATCCTCTCGAGATACGAGCTCTGGATCAGTAGAGAATAATTTCATCTCATTAAAGCGTTATTTTCTACCTCACTTTAGGAAAAATCTAACGACGTTCGTAATCATATTCAGGTAAAGCACGGTTTCACAATGCCCTTCACACTTTGCGCTTTCGTCATGCAAAGCAGAAAACTTTTTATTGGCATTGGAATATGTCGGTCTTAGTTAAAACTGCATTGGGAAGGTCGAATTGGGAGTCTGAATATAGAGTGGCCCATCCTTTGACTAAATTGCCGCACATCTATTGCAGCCATGGTATACCTATTGCAGGAATTCTGAAAATGCAAATGCGATGGCTAAAAGGCGACATTTGTAAAGTTTCTAAAAGGTTTAACGGCGATAATTAGATTCTGCGAGATAGTTGTTGCAAGGCGCGAATATTCAAACTGTCTTGAGTGTCTGCTCCATATTTACATACCTTTGTTGAAAACAGCGAACGTTCGAATATCTATAGTACAGATATCCGTTTCTATGCGTCGAAAACTACCTATAGAGGTTTGTCATCGACGCTGTAATAACCCGAGTGAGCAAAAGCCGAACGATGAGATTCTGTATTTCTGCTGCGTTTTCTGTTTGCCTGCCTTTATGTACGTGTGAAAACTGATCATTTGGAAAGTCCCTTTACTACGAAACCTCGAGCTGTGTCCTATATATATATTCCTTGCGTGCCTTTTACCGAAAGGCGACTAGGGAGTGAGTCATTTCATATTCATAAAACCTATTTGCTCCTATTACATGAGTAGGTATGTACTCTGTGAGCGGCAAGAGGCTGTCTTTAGAAAAGCTACGTCTATATAAACATTTTGGGCGCCTCTGCCGTCAGCCAAGTCGCCATAATTGTGTGTAGAATCTCTTGATGAATCTGGATATAAGCGATGAATCTGGATATAAACAAGCCAGCGTTAAGTATTTGCATTTTCCTTTACTAACACGCGGCTTTCAATTTGCCTGACTTGGACATTTTCTCTAAGTTTCACGTCGGCCTTTTTTCCGTCCAGTGACAAACGTTTGATTTCGTACCGAGCTGCTATTTCATTACATTTCATACATTCTATGAAAGCAGTGGCTTATCTGCAATGACTATATAATATTTTGTTGACACCGACGTAAAAAAGAACAGCTATTATATGTCGTTCTGCATTACGAACAGCTCAACAGTGAGCTGGAGCTTTTGAGAATGTTTGTTTTCATCCGTAATATAAATCTCGTACCGTTTTTTTTTTTTTCGTAGCTCCTATACATCGCCTATGATCCTCTAAAGGTAGGTAAAGAGAGAGCATTTTTATCTCACACGTATAATTGGCACCGATTGAGAATCCTAATAGTTTGTAGAAATGTGCCTTGCTAGCTTTTGTCCTACTTGTCTTCTTGCTTTCTTCAGTCAGACTACGTACAGGTAATTTTCATTGAGACTAAAATTTCCGTAACGTTGTAGTACGTTTCTAGTTCCTTGCCGCAGCCTTCGAGGGATCTCCTAGCGACCAAGAGCCCCGGATAGCCAATGCAACGAGTTGCTGCTTATATGACGATCTGTTCTAAACGAATGGCACTTGATCTTTTCTGTGAGCATTTTTTATTAATTATTAAATTAAAATTATATATCCGAAAAAGGGCACGTGGTTACATAGCTCGACTTTGTTTTTGCTTAGATAAAAGCGCTTTGTCATAATCAGAAAGACCCTCCTGTAATGATTAAATTTTTTTCCGATTTTTGTACTTTATTTTTAGTGAGTTTTAGTTATTTTTGTGTTAGCTTATAAAAAAGAAAGTAATAGCGGTTTTCCAGCTACCAGAAGAAGAGACGCAGGCTTTTATTCGTATTCTAGCGGAAAATTCATCTATCATCCATTTGGCGAACGCCTTTGAAAACGAGCAAACATATTGAAGAAAACCGACCTAATGCAATTAATTGTTTGACCTAATGTAAACAATTAGGTAACAATTTTTAGAAAAATAAGACATACACTTCAAAAAGACGTTTGTGACACTAAATACGCGCCGTTGCATGAAAAATTGCTTAGATAGGACGTTAGCTTATGATAAATTCCCATAGACAGTTATTCTGTGTGTTGAACGATTCGCCTGACTCTCCCAAGCTGCTCGCTATATTGCAGTACTGGTCCAGATTCATCATTTTTATGTCATCTCAACATAGTACGCACGTGCATAGAACGCTCTCTGTCATCTCCCTATGTATACATATGCCTACGGATTTTTCTCATGTGCCAGAAGTGTCACGAAAGTTTGACGATTATGTTTACCCAATATAATCACTATCCGCCGCAATACAACTTCAATTGTAAAGCCAAACCATTCAATGGTCAATTTCAAAATATTTAGTTGCAATTGGGCATCATACATATAGATATATTAGGGTGATCACACGCCAGAGGTCCTAAAAGTTAAACACGGCCGGAAAGTCTAATAGGTGCAAAAAAGTGTAGAGAGTGTCAAAACAACTAATTGTATACAGACAGTCCAATTGGTAATTTATATTTTGCTTTTAGCGACCGCTAGTACAAATCTGAGTATATAAAAACTGCCCTTTTAGGGCCATTTTAATTATTTTCAAGTCTGTTAAATCTAAACTCTATTGAGTATCCTATGGTTTTCAGCATGAAAATCTTCTCAGATTTTTCAAAAGCGGCATGAAAACTCTCGGTAACGTAGATTGGCAATTTCGAGCAAAAAGAGGAAGTTTTAAACCTTAGTGGGGAGTTCGTCCCCCACTAAGTTTATATACTAAACACGATAGTTTTGCATAATAGTTTTGCTTAAATTATGAAAGCGACATACTGTGTTTCGTTGTGATGGGCCTGTTGCTTTGTTCTAGAATAAACCAGATTTCACTTTATGTCAGAAATAGGGGGTCCCCGCTTGCCTCAGCCCGACACGTTTTGTCCAATCGAACACCGCACCGCGTATACATACAATAATATTCTACATTATTATTAAATCCTAATAGAACAAGCGCGATTCAAAGAGTTGTTCTGAAACTTGGCGTCAAAGCATCAACGTTCAGCGTGGCACATCTCTAATGGCACGATTACAGAAGATAAAGAGACGCTGCTTCGCCAAACGATTCCACCCATACGAATGCATGGACAAAAGTGTACACCTGACAGTTACTTGCTCTGCATTGCCTGGTGCTGGAACAAAGGGCCGAGAGACTTTCCGACAACAGACAGCCAGATACGGAGAACGTGAGGAAAGAAAGAGAAAATGCATTAGGCCAATCGAGTTCTTTGCGAATACAACAGGCCCAACATTCTTCCGCCAGGCCCTTGTGCTGTCTCCCACCACATGGCACGCAACATATGTAAATGTGTTCTGATCAGCGTCTCTAACTGCTGCTGCAGCAGTTGCACCGGACAAGAATGCAGACCGAAACGAACATGTGGCACGCGCATGTAGGCGCAGAATGAGAAGAAACGTATCCTGGGAGAACGAACCCCCGAACCCTCGCTGCCGTCAAGCACCACCCTGTTTGAGAGGGCCAATGTTGTCCAGTCGTGTGCACACTCACATACATATGAAGATGTATAGATACGAAGAGGTGCGCATATATGCCCACAATGGTGTCGATAGGCGCAGCGGCTTCTAATAAGCTAGGTGGCTAATATGCCCATGCATTCGTACCTGCCTCGAACCGACGACGAAGTAAAATTGAACGGTGACGAAACATCGGCTTCAGATAAGACGCAATGTTTAGACTTCGTGTTTTGGCAAGAAAAAGGTCTCTCGACTGTTTTCCGTTAGGCCCATTAGTAAAGAATATTTTCTATTCGCTTCTACATCTTATCTACAAAAATACATAAACTCACTTAATTAGAAGAGCCTTTAATGCACGTTTAATAACAAGAAAAATGCGAAAATAATATATCCTTGACAATGTTAAGTCGATCTATATTTCATATATATAAAAGAATGAATAATCTTACACACACACACACATATATATATATATATAT